CCAGCCGCCTCTCCGTGCTCCCTGCTGCACGGCGGTGCTCGGCGCTGCACCCAGGGCAAACCCGCCTCCTGCCGCGCCGAGCCTCTGCGCCTCCTCCTCCTCCTCCTCCTCCTTCGCGGCCGGGCCGCCACCCCCCGGTTGCCTTTGCCCGGGGTGGCGGCCCATGGGGCTGCGTGGTTGGGGTGACAGCGGTGAGGAACGGCGGCGGTGAAGGAGAGAAGCAGGGGAGAGGGGGTGGAGGAGCCTGCTAGCGCTCTTGAAAGTGCGGGGCTGATTTGCTGGCATGCGGCGAGGGGAAGGAGCGCTTTATCGGTCGTCACGTCAGGGAGACGATGGGCACAAATTGAAACGCAAGGAATTCCAACCACCACTCCAACAGGTCAAGGGCTGGAGCAGGCTACCTGGAGAGGTTGTGGTTTCCATCCTCAGGGACATACAGGGCCGCACTGGACGCAGTCCTGATCTCTGTGACCCCGCCTGAGCAGGGGCTCGAGAGAGGCTATCTCCAGAGATGCCTTCCAACCTGAATCGCTCTGGGAATCTGTGGCTTAGGAAAACTGGTAATAAAGATACGTGAATGTGATGTGGTTCAGGGTAGCTGATATTGCACGTGTGGGATTGTGCCCAGGTACAACAACCACACACAAATACCAAGAGTGCCGAAGTTGTTGTATCTCCTGTCATCTCTGTATTCACTGTGTGGCTGAGGTAGGCTGGACACATGTGCTGGAGTGGGGATCTGATGTTGTTCTGTGTTGCTAATGCGATTATCACGAGTGTGTACATCACAGCTCAGAGGGATGGGTAAGATCAGTGCCCCAGTAGGCAACGTGCCCTCAAACAAAAAACAGTGCCTGCCCCAAGGAATTTGGGGAGTGAATAGTGGGTGGAAAGTGTGGGAGAGATGGTGTGCTGCTTTTTCTGTCTTAAGGTCAAGGAACAGGGGCACGGAAGAACTGAGTTCAATATAGACTGACTGGTTTTAAAGAGGTCTGGATCAGGCCATAAGTCACGCTCCAGAAATCATCTCTACTGCAGGCTCCAGGGTATCCATAAATATTTTTAGCTGCCTGTCATCTAGGCAGCTGGAATATCCTCCAGCCCACTGCAAACCCATAAGCGTGTGCAGCCTTCACAAACCCCAGGCAGAGATTGCAATAGTTGGTGTGTACAGGTTGGTAATTTCTGTTTAGGTAACACAAAACCTTAGGATAACTTTTAAGGTTCAGACGCTGCAAACACGTGCAAGAGTGGATGTGTGTGGCAGTGTTGCTCTCGGGTAAGCACACTTACACAGGTCCATTGCTTTCGGATTGCTGGCTCTGAACCGTTTGTTTCTGCCCCAGTAAATTATCTTGCCAGTTGCAGAGTACATTGCCCCGTGGAGCTGCAGGACTGCTAAACTGTAACAGCTGGAGTGGTGGGAGCAGCCCTAAAAGAAACTGTAAAGTTTCTAGGTTAGAAGTTACAATTTAGGCAATGTATCAGAAGCCTCTTCCAGTGTGCCAAGATTTGGGTTGCTTGGCTGGCACAGCAAGAGAAACTGTGCTGCATGCTCTGCCACATCTTGCTTTTGGATTTCCCTGTGGTGTATATTGGAGGAGAGAGAGCGTGGCTACATCCCGTCAGTGGCGTTCGTCTGAGTAGGGTGCAGGTGCTGGGAAGAGGGTAAGGCTCATGTTAATGTTTTATTAACACTTGCTTTTGGTACAGTTCTTCAAGACATAAATACGTTTCTCCCTCTTCTTCTGATGAGCCCTGAATTGCAGCCATAACTGTGTTTGATAGCAGCGCACTCTCAGGAGAAGCGGTTGAGATTAAATGAGTGGAGCATAATGATATAATTGTGATCACAAAGAAGAGTGGAGGGTAGATTGTGAAGATAAATAATCCAAGTAAATAACAGTGGTAAATGACAACACTACTATAGGACTGTTGGTTTGTTTTAATGGACTAAGGCGTAAGCAAGAGACTTTCCATAATATTCTGTTTTCATTTACACACCCTTGGAGATATTATCTTGCTTACTATAAGCTTAGCTTTGACTAAAAAACGAGAGGTTTTTCAATTGAGAAATGTAAACTTTTTTCTTGAAGTTAGTGAAACACTCAAGTAACATTAAATGCCTGCTGAATTATCTGCAGGACTGAGACTGGTGCTGAATGCTGATGCTTCTTCATTGCTGAGGTTGGAAAAGCCTTCTTGAGCTTGTTCAAGTGGAATGGGTTAAACTAATATGTCTCAATTGACAGTCACTACTGGCTTACTGGGTAGCTCAGATGGCAAACAGTAATGCGGCAGTTGGTTGTAACCTGTTTGGTTATGGCTGTCTGTTGTCTGTAGGCACATGCAGAAGTCTGCTGAAAGAGTACCTCACATTGATTCAGGGGCAGGCCAAATGCTGGCACATGCCTCTCCCGTTACAGCCTGAGCTGCAAATCACATTTTGGGATTAAGGGGGTATAATGCTGCATGCAGGCAAGGAGAAGCACAGCCCTGCTACCTGGAGTTGCTTCATTGCCTGCTTCATGCTAAGAAGTTTAAAAAGACTCTTGTTTCCCCTTATGCTGTAATGATTTACCCTGTCTACAAATTGGTCACTTTTGGTTGTGGGTAGGAATCTTCAGAATTTACCCCGGTTTCTCCCTCTTTGGGAGTTCTGGACACAGCAGGTCTCTTAATTCTTTGGGTGAAATTTGTGTAGGTTGGGAGTGGTGCTAATCACAAAATAGAGAAGGGATCAAGCATTACTTCAACGTCAAAAAAAAAAAAAAAAGAAGCCCACCTTGTGCAAGATGTTGCTTTAGGGAGTTACATACCTGTGTTTCTTTTAAAACAAGAGGTAAGTTAACCCAAGTTCTGCATCTGCACGTGTATTTTGTCATCTAATATGATCTGACAAATGAACTGATTTGTTGCAGCTGACCCGAAAGGTTATTAAAGCATTGATGTGCCATATCTGCAAAATTATGCAAAACAGCTTTGGAGAAATGGAAACAGTTCCTGCAGGGTCTCTGCAATGAGGGACTGATAATTGCCTTTGCATGGGTACTGCCTTGTTAGTAGCTCTTATGAAACTTTAAGGAGCGAGGGGTCTGCTTATGCCTGCTGAACACCAGGAATGCAAGGAACTACACGAGCTGAGATCTAGAAAGATTGCAGATTATTTCTTTATCTTGATGGGTTTTTTTCCCCTACTCTTTCAGCGTGAACAGCCATACCCAGGAAGGTCTGTAATGCATCAGTATCATGGAGAAAACTCGGCCACAGCTCTCCCAGCTTCAGGCCAAGGAAGGACTCAGTGAATCACATCAGGGTTTTGCAAAGGCAGAAGATCTTTGCATTAGTTAAGTTACGATGATGCAGGAGTATCACACATGCCTCACCCACAGGTTCAACGAGGGCAACTCTTTAGATATGATCATCAGGTTTCCACTAGAGGCTGCACTGGTCCGAGCACATTTCCCAGTACAGGCACGCTCAGCACCTCCTCACCTGGAGCCATGCATCCAGGAGGAATTTGCTACAAGAGCAAGAACACGAGTTTAATATACCAGCCTCCCTGGAATATCAGCAGTAACGCCTAACACGTTAGTGTAATAAAAGCTCTGCGTCAACTATGCTTGCAAAATTGTACTGGTAGAAACCCCATTAGGGTTTTTTGGTGTGGCAGCTTTGCTAATGGTGGCTGCACTGTGCCTGGTTAAGGGCTGCTGCCGCAGGGGCGAATCCTCAGCCCCAGGTGAGGAGCAGTGCTGGGAACTGCTCCTCTGCTTCCTTCGGTTCCTGTTCAGTCTGGGGGCTGTGGGAGCAGGCATGGGTGACCGGCTCTGAAGTCCTTCAAAACATGATAAAAAGAGCTGCAAGAAGGAAGAACCTGCACTTTGTAGTCCTCTACACACAGTCATGTGTTTCTTCACAATGGTACAAAAATGCCTTTTGGAATGAAAAGGTAAAAGCTTTAGGTTGAAGGGTGTACAAGGGTAAGCGTACAGCTGAGGTCTGTTTATTTACTACCCTGGGCCATTTAGTTGTAGGAGGTGCTCTCAGTTTTTATCCTTGTGGCTTTTGATTCTGTGGCTGTTCACATAGGGGGGTAGCTCTCATATGTCTGTAATTCAACATGTCCTTCACGTGTGGCGAATCAGGTCTCTGTCTTTCATAGGCTTTTAGGGTTTTATGCCTTGCAGAACACTGCAGGACCTGGCCCAGCAGGGCCCTTCCTTCTTTGCTGCCTTGGTTGAAGACTTGAGAGGAGGCATGTTAAGTTTAGCCCTAAGACTCCTGCCTTTGCAGGTAAAGGGGTGTCATGCTGAATGTGGGGATGTTAAGCATTTTGCCAGCTGGAGTAACAAGGAGGCAGCTGTGTTTTGCTTCATCCCTGGAAATCCCTGACTGGAGTGGGAGAGCGACTGGCCGGCCACCGTGGCTGCTGCTGGGTTTACCCAGTTTGTTAGGAAACGGACCAGGGGCGTGTTTGGCAAGAGTGAAGAGCTTGGAGAAACAAGAGGAATGAGGTGCCCGGTTTTGCCCTCTGCCTCGTCATAGGAGGGCCTTAGGGGCTCCTGCTGGCAGACAGCCGCAGCTGGGGGAGCTCCTCTCCGACTCCCCGTTACAAAGCTCTCTTCGCCGAGTCCCCATCCTCCTTCTTAACCAAACTGGCAGTGGGAGGACCTCGCCGGTCGCTCGCTTGGCCAGCTCTTTGCAGGAGCCGCTGGTCTCTCGGCCGTGCCCCACGGCTGCGGGGCGGGTGGCAGGGTGCCCCTCTCGGGTGAAGGGGCTGGGTACGAGGGGGCGGGCAGGGAGCCTGGAGAGGGATTAGTTGCAGTTGCTG